GAAAATTAGTCAACTAAATTTGTTTATTTAAATGTAGCTAAAATAAATTGATTGCAACCAATTTCCTTAAAATTTTTTAGTAAATTCAATGAATATTTTTCCCCCAGTGAAATATAGTAAATATTAGTAAATATATATAAATATAAATAGTAGATATATTTACTATTGTTTATGTATTTATTTGATTAGCTTTTAATTAGTTATAATAACCTATAGCCCTATACTCTATACAAACATATTTTCTCCAAAAACATTATTTGTTATAAGTATTTGTATAAGTCTGTTCAACATGATGCAGTCGTGTTTGAACGGGAAACCTGATATAATGGTGTTAAATCAAAAGGAATTGTTTAAATAAAGTGAACAGCATTACATTTTTTTTTCTCAGTGAGCAGTGTTCTTTATCATTCCTGTAATAACACGACTCTTTAAAAGAGGATCAGTTCTGTTGTACAGTTAAGTGATGGAACATTCTGTGAAATTATGACCCTGGTGGCTTTCAAGTGTGAGGATGGGCATCTTCTGCATCCAAACAGATTGTTTTAGCTAAAGAGCTTTATTTCTCCATACAATTTATAATGATATGTTATAATAATGCAATGATAATATTAATGCAGAGTGAGTGAACTTCAGTTTTTGGCCATGCAATACAGACAGTGTTTACTCAAAAATGTGACTACAAATATACTACGACTTCAGGTTATTTAATAATGTACTTTGAAAGTATGCTTTCAATGCATTGTTACAATGATCATTTTCAGCACACAGTTAAAAATATTCATAAAATATATTTAAGTAAAGTGCAAATAAATGTACTTATAAAAAATAATCAGAACTTTCAATTCAAGTATATTTTTGTAAAATACATTTATAGAAATTATACTAAATTACAATTATTTTAAAGTGTTAAAAGTTGTATTGTGAAAATAGGCAAAAGCATGACGCTAATATACTTTTTATATATTTAAAGATAGTAAAACATTTTGTTAGTATATTTGCAATGTACTATTAAAACAGGGAATATATTACAAATACAATAAAGTATACTTTTTTCACTAGGGCATATAGACTCATCCAATAAGGTTAGTTCACCCAATAATGAAAATTCTGCCACCATTTAGTCACCCTCATGTCCCAGAGCTGTAAGACTTGCATTCATCTTTCATTTGTTACAAATAAAGGTATTTTTAATGAAATATGAGAGATTTTTGTCCCTCCATTGACAGTCTGCACAGCCAGGGGTGAACCAAGATGAAGTGGGGGCCCCAGGCAAAATTAATAGATGAGGCCCTTCTAAAATATTATTTTGTTAATATATCTTCGTTACCGAGATATATATATTTATACAAAATACAAAAAGTAGTTAAAACACATATAATAGAACAGAAACTGTTTATTTTTTAAAACAAAGTGCTTATTCTTTAACAAAATATCAATCGTCATCTTTACGGCAGAAGATACAATACTGTACAAATACAAACTTGAAGATACAGAACAATCTTCATATTTACAGTAACGGATTGTTACCTTAAAAATGGTGCTTTGCTACAGCAAATGCTGTCACTATGTCCTCCATATCCAAAGACCTTCGTATGTTCCGTTTAATTGAAATTAGTGCCAGTGCTGACAGCCTCTCTTGGTTCACTGTTGACCTGGGGTATGCTTTTATCAACTTTACTAGTTTTATTAGTTGATAACTAATTATGTTAACTCAACTAATTTAATGTAGAAGAGCTAAATAAATAATGTCAACTAAGTAAATGTAATTATATTTATTTATATTGATTTGTGGGCTCCACACTGGCAGCAAGACACAGTACCCAGGGATGCAAACTAATTGTAAGGAATTATTATATTTTAGCTCAGGTTTTGAGAGGAATCGAATCTGAAGATTCAAAGTCAACCTGATTAGAACTGATTCCAAATTTAAAGATTATACTTTATCAACGGTTCGTCCAGCGAGCGTTAAAATCTGTATATCTTAACAATTCTGTTCATATTACTTCATGGTCACGAATCACGATAATACAAACAAAATGGTAATCTTATTAATTTTGAGCAAGGTAACACAGGATCTGGGCAAAGTTTAACTTTATAAGAAGTATTGTCTTGTGTTGTGAATTTAATGAAACAATAATTTATTTTGAGCTACTCTATGGACCTACATGGATCTAAAACTAATGAAAACACACATACACACACACACTGACACAGGATGATGATTAAAGGAGTTTGCATGAAATCCCAAAAGTAAGATATTCGCTACAGTTCTTTAACTTGCAACCTGAAGAGAATCACAAAGCAGAGATTTGTCTTATCTTTACTGCTTAAGATCAATTCAGCACCAGTTCAGCAAGACATGAAGCTTTGTTTGTTTACTTGCGTTTTGGTGACCGCTGAGAGGAGTTTCTCTTGTTGGCTCATCTCCAGCAGCGGGGAAAATCACCACGTTGCTGATTGGTCATTCGGCTGACGTCTTAAAACGGCGGCCGACGCATCACGAAGTAAAAGCAAGCACATCCAGCGTAACGCAAGAAGGGGCCCCCTAGGGGGGATGCAGATATATTGCTGCATGTTATATTAATAATGACATTTCCGATTGTTCAAATGGTCAGCTGTCGGGCAATTGCCTGCCTTGCCTGCTCTATTGCTTCACCTCTGTGCACAGCTAATATTTTGATGCATCAAAATGTTCATAAAGAGATTGTAAAACTAATCCATATGAATTGAGCAGTTTAGTCCCAAATTTTCTAAAGAGATTCAATCACTGTAAATGATGAACAGATTAAATTTAGACTTTTATTCACATATTTACATTGATCAGCAAACATAAAAGCTCAACCGTACTTGCTTGACACACAACCGCATTGGTCTCTTTCGGAGGCTCAAACGTGCTGCATAACACTGGAGAATAAACCTCATTGGTTCTCACACATCAAGCAAGAATGCTTGAGCTTCTGTTTGCTAAACCGATGTGTGTGTTGACAGATTTCATTCAAATATCTTTATTAGTGTTCCTTTAATCATATTCAGCAAATGCATTTCTAAAGACATTCTTAAAGCACAATACAATACCAAAGATGTTATCTTTGCCATGTGACAAATATCAGATAACATTTACCCTACTTAAAACAAGGTAAGTTTATTTTAACCTTTGTTTCACAGTGGAAGATATGAGGATTGTTCTGGTTGGTAAATCTGGATCAGGAAAGAGCTCAACAGGAAACACTATACTGGGCAAAGATGCATTTAAAGTTGGTTTCTCCCCTGAATCTACAACTCAACAGTGTGAGAAATGTAAGGGAAATGTGGCGGGTAAAAACATATCTGTGATCGACACACCTGGATTGTTTCACACGTCTCTGACTCAAGAAGATCTGAAGGCTAAGATTGAGATGAGTTTGCAGATGTCTGCTCCTGGTCCTCATGTGTTTCTGCTGGTCATCGGACTGGACAGATTCACAGAGGAAGTAAAAAACACAGTGAAATGGATTCAGCAAAACTTCGGAGAAGAATTTATGAGATTCACCATAGTGCTGTTCACTGGAGGTGATAAATTAGAAAAACCAATAGAAAAATTTCTATCAGATAGCAACAACCTGATTCTAGATGAATATGAGACAGAATATCATGTCTTTAATAATGCCAAGAAGAAGAATCAAACTCAGGTCACTGAATTGCTGGAGAAAATAAAGCAAATGAAGAATAAACATGAAAGAAAGAATGAATACTACACTATGGAAATGTATCAGGAGGCTCAAACTAAGATCAGAGAAGAAGAAGAGGAGAGAAGACAAGAGGAAGAGAAAAAGAACCAAGAGGGGAAGGAAGAAAATGGAAACGTAGATGGTTTTGTTCAAAGAACAATAACAATTGTCATAGCAGGCGTAACAGCAAGTGTAATAGTAGGCCTAACAACAGTGCTAGCAAAACTATATTTTCTGAATGGAAATCATCCATAAACCAGCAGAGTTGTTGAATAGTGCACTGAACAAGAATCACATGCAGTCCTTGATATGCATGAAAAAAGTAATACAAGATCACCCACATACACTTATTTTTTATGTATTATTCATATGATAAATCAAAATGTAAAGAGCTGTATACTTTTTTTTTTTAAATGTGATTATTATGTAAACTAGAAAGTCCTTTTTTGCAATGATTATACAAACTAAATAAACAATAAGTGTATTATTAACTGAATCAGCCAATCTTTTTTCCTTTTATACACAGTGTTGGGCAGTAACGCATTACTAGTAAAGCGCTACTGTAATTTGATTTCTTTTTTAGTAATGGAGTAATTTAACACGTTATATTTTTAAAATAGTAAATAGGCCGAGGTCTTTATAAGTTACCGTTGCATTACATCATTGCCGACAGAATGCAGTGTTTTATCATCTAGACTGTAAAAAGGTTGTAGCACACAAGACACAATGTCCTCTACCTGAGACCTACTTTGACTGGTAAGCGCCTGCAAGGCGGATACTACCAGTGAAAACAAACTTAGCATGGGGAGAGAATAGTATGCATTCTGTAGCTGTAAACACAATCATTATTTTGAGTTTATTTCTGTCAAAGGCAAGAACATTATTGTGCGTTGTCAATTATATGGCGAAAAGAAAACCTTTTCAACTGCGAAAAACACCACATCCAATTTAAAACACCTGAAAGGGCAGCATAGCACGGTAAAATTTCTCGAGAAAGTGCCGGGTGCAGAGAGCAATGCATCAGCTTCTACTGTCGAGTCCAGTGCCAGTGGATTAGAGACCTGGGAAAGGAAAGGAGGTTAAGTGAAAACTCTTGAGTATGTTAATCCTGAAATGAGGGAAACTCTGGATTTTCCTTTTCAGAATGGGAGGTTTGTCAAACCCGACAAAGCAGGGTATGTCAAGCCCGTTTCTGAAAGAGAGGTAACTTATACTCAGAGTCATTTACCGTGGTAACTTACTCTATGAACCTAACCTGGTGGGGAGCAGGTTTTCTTTGGTAAACCCAGAGTTTCTTTCGGTCTCCTCCCCCTTTTTAAAGTGTAAGCGATGTTTAAATACCTCGTTCATTCATTCACGCTGCAAAAAATGCTTTTCTTACTGAGTATTAAAATGAATATAAAAATGCTTTTCTTACTGAGTCTTATTTCAAGTACAAATATCTAAAAATTCTTAAATCACGATGCATTCTCTATATAAGAAAAATGATATAGTCTAAGATGTTTATTCTTGTTTCCTGGGGGGAAACAAGTGCATTTAAGTGCATTTTACTTAAAACAAGTATTAGTAAGGCTGCTGTATGCAGAGCGGTAATGAAAGTGTGCCTCGCTGACGCAAGATAACATCTGGAAGTAACCCAATAATTAGAATTTCCAGTGTGGTTGGATGCATTGATGACACGCATGTTACCATCATCGCACCTTCTGAAAGTGAAATGGATATGGAATGGAAGGATGCCATATGGAGGTGTAGTCCGAGGTATATGTTGTAACCACCACCACAGCTGTTATATAAACACAAATTATGCACAATTTATTTGGTCATCTTTATTTCCTACAAATAGAAAAGCAAGAGTTATTCTTTTTTTACTGTTGGTTTTTAGTATTCTTCCAATACTTGGTATTATGGCCATCTCCTCTTCATCTGTTCTTCATTATTTTGCGAGCCTTCTTGCTGTTGACTGAGTAGAAGTCAAATGTTA